GAAGTTGAAAGTTCGGAGAGCTAAATGTGAGTACCATTGGTTTTTTAAATTTGTAATGAAATATGTTGGCTTTGTTGCATGCTTTGTATTTAAGTATAGCTTTTTATTGCAAGTGAATCATTCAGTGATTATATAAAATGAACTTAAATATTGATTTGTTGATCTTAAAATAATGTAAAATCAATTGTAATATTTGGTATAAATTTTTATGTGCATATTTTAGTGCGTATTTCGGAAGTTTTTCATGCATAAATGCATTATTAGGTCATAAAAATCCGGTCCCTATAAATACACTAAGGACATGATGTGTTACATAAATCTTCTCATAATTAAATGTTGACCTTACCTTGACATGGCACGCACGCGCAGTTCTTATGCAGAGGTTCTGGCAGCAGCGATATGACGACATATTCATAATAATGTGACAGAATATGTCCATCTGCTAGGCAAAGGCTAGGTAAACACTGCCTAAAGCTAAATAATAGCAGAAGCGGAAGTCATTCTTACTAGGCAACGGCTAAGTAAATATTTGTTTTCGCGGCAACAAATATTAACATTCCCATGACAACGCAAAATAACAGAGGAACTTTTGGACATGATGACTTCTATCCCGGCTGCATGACAGTTAAAGAAAGTAGTGCATTCGTGAATTCGAGATATATATATTCAAACAGGAATCAGATCTTCGTCAGACGACGTTCAGAATGAGATCAATGTGTGAGCTGTTATAATTGATTGCAATTGTAGAGAAGTACCNCTGCATGACAGTTAAAGAAAGTAGTGCATTCGTGAATTCGAGATATTTATATTCAAACAGAAATCAGAGCTTCGTCGGATAGACGTTCAGAATGAGATCAATGTGTGAGCTGTCATAATTGATTGCAATTGTAGAGAAGTACCAAAACCCAATATTATTAGTCACGCAACCGCTTACAAGTGGCGATACAGTAACTTATTTCAACAGATTGGTTTTCTTAACGAGAACTTGATGTTAGGAATGTTAACACCATCGTGTGTTAGAGAGACAAGGTAATTCTGATGAAACATTTCTAGCATTGGGATCTCGTTTAAAAATGTCCCTGTAGAACAATTGCTTCATTACCCTACAGACATTGCGTATGATTTGGAGGAAATTGCACTGTCAAAATGGAGGAATAGTGAAATTAGATTTTAAGTTCTGGGTAAAGTGTAAAGTATGTTGTCATGTGTGAGAATACATGACGTCACCGAGTCTACTGCAACCCCTTTCGATTGTAAGCCTTTCTCGATGCTTTGTTTCCTCGTCTGACCCAACGTCCACGTGCCGTGAACATGACTAAGCAAAAAAGAAATAAACTCCATGTCCTGTATTCCACAAGCGAACTATGCCGACCGAGTGACCGCCGCTTGTCGGCGAAGTGAGTGCCAAATTTTGCGGATAGAGGGTGTTGCATGGTCAGAGCAACGAATCTCTACGGCCGTTAATCTCGGTTTTCTAAACCGAAGCAGCTATTTCCTTTGAGAAAGTAAATGCCCTATCATTTTCTTTCATTCTTTTTTTTTTTTGCAGGTCTGTATTCTTTAGATGTCGAGGACTATGAGCTAGTTATACCCAGGAAGGTGACAGAAGATGGTCATTTCTTGTCACACAACTTGAACCATCATTATATAAACGATGAGGAAGCATTCGGCGTTAAGAATGGAGGCCACAGGAAGAGAAGGAGTGTTGGGGCGGTGGTGAACTACCACATCCCAGTCGGACTGTTGGGGCATGAACAGCCTCTGCATCTGGAGTTGTGGCCCAGCAGAGACTTCCTGGCTCCTGGTCTCCTGGTAGAGCGCCATTCCGGCAACCACACGGCGCCCGAGAGGTCGCCGCCTTCCTTAGAAGCGACACAGTGTCATTATCAGGGCTCCATCCGCGGGCAACCCGGCTCGCAGGTCGCAGTATCTGCTTGTAACGGACTGGTGAGTGACTCCTACAAATTAGTTGGGCAGAAACTCATCTGAGGGCTCCTGATGTAAGTAGAAATTATAGACCGTATGCCTTTGTATTTGCTAATGAGGGAGCAGACTACTTGAGCGCGTATACATAAGACCGGTTTCCATAAGCTGAATGTTACTAGCGGGTCCTCAATCTGTATGCAGAATTTATATTAATGCCACAGTCCTTTCTTTATAATATTATCATTTAGAATCTTGTTAATGAATGTCTCAGTTCCTCTTTATTATTATTATTATTATTATTATTATTATTATTATTGTTGTTGTTGTTGTTGTTATTGTTATTATTACTATTATTATTATTATTAGGACTCTACGGCCCTTTGTTGGGCCTTGGCCGCTTTTTCCAGATTCTTGATCCTATACGGAGTCGGTAGGACTCCTTTGACAGGGATCAGCCCATCGCTAGACCCCTACCTACACACAGAACAACACAAATATAAAACTGACGTACACAATACAGACATCCATACCTTAAGTGGATTTAGAACCCACGATCCTAGCGTTCGAACGAGCGAAGAAGGTTCATGCCTTAGACCGCGCGGCCACTGTGATGGGCTCTAAGTTCCTTTGTCTGGAACAAATAAAGTTCCTGCTTGTCTCCCCCCTTAGTGTATGTAGATACGTATATATGCGCGTGTTTGTTGACTAATTGGAAACACAGGAAAAAAAGAAGCATTTCCAGTATCAGTAATATGCCTGCTAAAGAATGTGAGATGTACTGGAAATGTAGGTAAGAAATGCATAAAAAATTTTAGTCGGTTATTTTGAAAAGAAACGACAACTTGGTAGACCGAGTCGTAGATGTAAATGTAATAATGAAACGAATCTCTAAGATATATAGGATGTAAAGGAGTGAACTAGATTCAACTGGCTCAGGATAGAATTGAGTGGTAGGCTCTGTAGAACGCGGTAATGGTCCTTTAAGTTCCAAAATAAACAATATATTTATTTACCAACTAAGCCACTATCAGCTTCTCAACAATGAATCTACTGTATGACGTGTCGATAGTAACAATACGAATATGAATTGCTCATATTTGCAGTTGTCCAACCACGTCTATCGGTATTAGAACGTATAACTGATCGTGATAAGAAAGAAATAGGCGTATAGCATTGATGCTTTCTGAGTTATCTGAGCACCTACAAAACAAAAACAAACTTCCTGGCTTTAGTCCGCAAGCGAACTATACCAACTGAGCGACTGCCGCTTGTCGGCGAAGTTAGTGCCAACTTTAGCGGACAGAGGGTGTCACGTGATCAGCGCAACGAATTTCCACGGCCGTTAATCTTGGTTTTCTACACCGGGGACGCTATTTTTCCATTCAAGTAGCACCTCACTTATCCTCACGGGGCTGAGTGACCTGGAAGTATAATTTCAGATCCTCTGTTTCAGAAGTGTAGATCACAGTACGCATTAACCTGCCGCATAGGGCCGCGCCATAGCTCAAGCAGTTAGTCGCTGGCTTCCCACCGCGGCGACCCGGGTTCGTTCCCGGGTCTATTCAAGTGGGATTTGTGGTGGACAAAGTGGCGCTGGGGCAGGTTTTCTCCGAGTACTTCGGTTTCCCCTGTCAATCTTCATTACATTACATTACCAATTGCTCCACAATCACCCTCACCTATCATCTGGGGCTGGTACAATAGGCCAGAAGTGCCCAGCGTACAAGGGACTTCTAGCAATAAAAGAAAACTTCCGCTTGTCTCAAGCGGTGAAAGGAATCATGAAGAATAAGATTGAACTGACGCATGTGTTCCATTGTGGGACAAACAGAATTGCCGACAGCTTTCTTTGAAATTTATTAAGAGTATGAGTACTTATAAGTAGCGATAAGTCTTTCACGCTGAATTACAAGACAATCTGTGACACTGTGTATGAGATACTTGGAAAAGTCCGTGTATGGTCTTATGTTAACCAGGCTTGAGTATTGATTAATGTGGCGGAAAGCATTGCCTAGTAACATTCATTGAAAATCTCACGTATCGAATTGTAAGGAACTGCTTTGGTTTAGGCTCTGCTGCTGTATCACAGACAGACAAGATGGACGGCACATGGACAGACCCGACTTTCTATTAATTCATTCTTCCTCATTTTGTAAACCCGTAATAATTCTGGGGTTCACCGTTTAGCCCAGTGGGCTTAATAGAGACTACAACAACACAGCGTTATCGTCTTGATAATGGAGGCAATCGAACTGAATCTCATACCTGAGGAGGTCATCAGAAATGCGATTAAACTCGAGTAGAATTCTCACAGCACAGGTTCGACTCGACCCGAGTCCCATAATTAGATGTCCGAATTGCGTAATGCTGTCTACCAGACCGCACACAAAATTGTTCTGCAACGCTTTAAGCGTATGTATGTTCCAGTGCTTTACTAAACTAAAATATTTCAATTAACCCTAGATATTTAGTGCTGGGAATGGTCAAAAGTGTAAGCTGACTTTCATTCGGATGAATTCCAATGAGGAAGAAGCTCGCGACACCTTTGCGTAATGCGGTTCTTAAAGAGCACGTGGAATGGATTAATTTTGCTTAGGATAGAATCCAGTTAGTTTATCTTGTGACTTAGGTAAAGAACCATTGAGCTTAGCGACCATCAGTTTCTCAAAGAGATTGTGCATCATGAAGCCCTGTATTGGTGGTTGTAATGGATTTGCTGCGGCTTTCAATATTTCTATTAAATAACTCCGCGGCTTGTAGTCTGCAAGAGAACTATACCGACCGAGCGACCGCCGCTTGTCGGTAAAGTTAGTGCCAAACAAAATGGGGGTCACAGAATATAAGGTGAGTTTGGCAGTAACAGACGGGTCATATTGTGCAATTTTTAGTAATTTATTTTAATATGTTGGAAAACAGCAACATAGCTGTCGAACAACGTATTTTGATACTAGGATGGTGAATAATATACCGATATAAGTTTATCTTACATCTTTGCTGTTGTAGTCCATAATCGGAAACTTGTACAGGCCAGTGTTTCCAGATCAGTCGCAGACAAAGGCGTCTCTCTGCTTTAGTGAGGTTGTCGCAAGTGCACCTTGGCAGTTCCTATGGACAGTCTTCGTTTTATCCAGTTATACTGATGGAAAAGTGGGCTTGTTTGCTCGTTGCAGATTAATTTAACTATTAAACAAGTAAGGACATTCTGTACTTAGAGGCAGAACTGGTTGGTTTGTCGGATGCAAATGAAAAAGACTTGGCATATTGTTACTCGTTAAGATTCAAAGCGTTCAGACCAAGTCCACACAAATTGCAGACACCAGTCAATAACTCAACATGTGACAGCCCATATGTACGTAAGTGACAAAGCGCCGTGCAAGATGCATATTAGCATCACGAAAATATGTGCTGTCGCACCTAGTAAGTCTGACACGACAGTATCGCTACGTAGCACCTGTTGTAACAATGTGTTCAAATTAAAGATTCTTTTCCTACAAGCAAAGATAATTGCAGCACTACTAAAAGCAATTTTAACTTTCCTGCTATAAAAATTACAATTTCTGATACATTTCCGGTAAATCTTCAAATATGGTTTGTATTTTGTGCTGCGATTTCATTTAGTTTGTTAAATTCCTTTATATTGCGGCATGTAGACCCCTTTTCTATGAAACGACCGCGAAATAAAAAGCTATGCAACAGCCGTTGCTAGGCAATTTCTCTGTAACAAACGGCCGTTTTTAGGTAATGACCGCAAAATATTCTTAATATGCAAAAACGGAGTAACTGGGAAGCGGTATTTTATACGCAGTCCGCGCGATAGCTACGTGATTCAACAAGAGAGTAACTGTTCGGAGAGGTGATTTCTATGCGGTCCGTACCGAGTTGTTATAAGCGGGAGAAGCCTAGATTTTAATTAGTTGTGAGAGCCTCCGGCCACTAAGGACGCAAACACGGAAGCTGAGGAGGCTACGGCGTTAGAAGCCGTTACCAGGCGACAATCAAATAATATAAAACATACTGAGAAGGATTCGTACGTGCTGTAGTGAATTTTAGCGAGTGTGAATTAGCGTTAGCGCTATAGTTATTTGTAGTTATGTTATGTAAGAATGCAATAAATCCAATTACCAATCCAAACCTAGTCTATAGTCACTCATACACGCGACAGCATAGAAAGTATCGGTGGTTACTTATTTGTAGATTGTAAACTTGAACGTTATGCTCCAGTGCAATTTTGATACGTTATGGAAACATCATAAATTAATAAAGAAAGTAAAGATCACAGGCGTCAGTGAATACACGCCGCTGTTTCTGTTCCACGGATCCTGATCTATGTTCATGTGCGCACTGGAATGTATTGCGGTCATGCTTCATTTCTTGCAGTCGTGTTTAGCTGCAGTACAGCTTGCATTCAAAATAAACTTGAATAATGAGCATAACATAACATCGCCTTCTCTCTCACGACTGCGTGTGAAATAAAACGTCGACTCTCCAATACATGAGCTATAAAATGAGCGCTTCGTAGAATATAAAACTTCTCTACCTTCAATGTTTATTCTGTGCTTCCGCTGGATGTCAGGAATCGAATTATCGGCTGAGACGTCTTGATATACTATGTATTACACTGTAATTAGAAAATGTGTTTACGTTGATCGACTACAGGCTAACTTGACTCCAGGCAGTCATACTCTAAACGTGTATACAGTATTGGTGCGAAATTGAATGTTGACTTTGTGTTTGCATTTCTTTATGTATGCTGAAATGTAGTAACTTGTGTCTTATGAACGTAGGTATAATCATCATCAGTAATCTGTCAGACGACAGGCCCACACTCTCTTCCAAAACAATTCCTCCACTTAATGCGATCTAGAGCTTTCTCCTTCAAATGGCAGTATCCTCTTCTGTCCCCAAGGTCATCCAGCATCTTCTTACGTCTTCTTCCTCGTCTTCTTGTCACTTCTATCCGCCCCTCTATCTTTCCTTCAATAACTTCTTTTAGAAGGCAGTTTCTGCGTAAAACATGACCA